AAGGGTTATTCTGGATGGTCTTTTCCTCTTGCTTGCAACACGGCTGCAAGATGCAGAAGCAGCTGACGTGAGGCTGTGCTCTTTGGGAGCAGCTCCTCACTGCTTGCACCTATCTCACGTCTGCAGCATGGAAACGTTTAAGAGCACTATTTGTAATCCCTGGATGCTAGAGACAGAAAGGCTTGTGGCCATTTGCCAATTTCCCACACAGCAGCTCAGTGCACCTTTTAGCCTTTAAGAACAGGTTATGCCATATGACAGTCAAGTTGAACAGATTCCTGAAACTGCAGAGAAAACTGGAGAGGTACAAATGTACCAAACCTTACAGAAGTGGTCGAGAGGGGTGGAGAGGAAAAGTTTCTTCCATTTATTACCCTGTTATTTCAGCTTACTTCGGCAGAGAAGCACCACGTTAAAAGAAGGGTGTCATTAAATGTCTCAGGACATTGTGAAACCCTGTGTAGGAAGTACTAGGGATTGATAAAGTCCTGCCAGACAAGTCTGATCACATTTAGCGGAATTACAAAAGTAGAAGAGCTGGAGATAAGATTCACCTTCAATAAAACAACTGACGCCCTCATATGAGAAGAGCCTCCTTGGATCCGAGCACGCAGCAGTAATGAAACCTGGCTGACCTGCCATAAATAAAGTTTGAGAAGAGATGCACAGGAAGAAGAGGCAGAAGGAGAGAGGGAAAGATGCTCCCGAGATCTAATCTTTAGGAAGGTGAAAGAAGTTACACAAAAGCACTCTGAACATTTGTTCAGTTTTCAAGGCTCTGATCCTGCATAGCTAAGCAGAAGCTTAACTTTTGCCCTCCAATAGCCCTGTCAAAGTTACTGAAACTTTTAGACGTGCGTCCTAGCAGAGCTAGGGCTAGACTGACAGCTGACAACTCCCAGCTTTTCCCTCTTCCCTTTCCACCGGTGCAGGAGCAGTCGAGCGCCCCTACCATTAGCTCAGAAAATTCAGTCCGGCCCAGAAGCGCGCACCGAGAGCGCGGCGGCGGCGGCGGGCGCG